GTGCAAGAGAAAACACTGGCTATGTCATGACAAGATCCTTAAAAGGAATCTCAAAGTCAAAATAACTTAGCCACTCTGATGACCTTCTGTCTGTTAAAATATATGAATTATTGTGTTCTATTTTACTATTAATAAGTGTCTGTGCCAAATAGCCAGCTATTACACTAAATAATTTAATGTATGGAACTATGCACACATGTATAGAAGATTTATAGGAAGACAATCAGAAACTAACCACCAGGAAATAAGATTACTGACCCTGAGAGAAGAGGTATATGAAACTTATTTGAGGTGATTAAAATTATATTATATGGTGTGAAAAAACCCTTTTTTAAAAAATTTTCATTCACGTACAACTGCATCAGTTGAACTAAAGGAAAACAAAAGGAATAAAAGTAACAACCAAAGACTTCAGAAACTGTGCTATCTTCCAGAATTTTCGTAATTTCAAATACATTTCAAAAAGCACTCTTGTAACCATTCAGTATGTCCAAAATTCATGTTGAGAAAAAGGTTGGCAGAACTCAGGACATTTTTGATTGCTTTAGTTAGGGCTTTCTATAGATAATAAGGAAAGTAATTTACTTTTCAATATGCAAAATATGGAGAAAAACACTGTTCATAGCTGGCTGGAATTTTTGCAGCTTTTTAGCATTTTGCTTTATTCTGGAGGTGGAGTTGCTAACTCTCTTTCATTGGAATATCAGATATTATACAAGATCAGAGCAACAAATAAGAACATACAAAATATAATTGACATCCTCACCCCAAAAGAGATCGAGTCAAAATTATGCAGTACATATTGATCAGGTTCATTGAGTCTAAAAGCAGCACAAGCAGATATCTGAGGCAGCAACTTAACACCATATCTAATGAAGCTGTTATCTATATCTTATTTGGAACAAGGCATGCTTATGTAAAAATCTCCAGTACTGTGTAATTATGGCCAAAAACCATCTGAGACATCCAGACAGAGCTGTCAAGTATGGCACAGGTTTTTCTGAAACAGAAATTGTAGGACAATTAAAGTAGCAAGGACAACTTCTCAAATGGTAGTAAACTCTTTCTCATGATGAAATGAATGCTACCCATCTACATGTAGAGTCCTTACTGAACATATCTGGTGTATAACTGGGAGGACTGTCGACTTCCCTGAGTGCAGAGAGACCTTGCAGAGAGATCTCTACAAATTGTAGAGATTGGCAATAACCAACCATATGAAGTTTATCAAGGGAAAGTACCAGATTCTGGACCTGGGATTGTGCAACCCAGGATGTTTGTACAGATTTGGGAATGAGATGCTGGAAAGCAGTGTCATGGAAGGGACCTGGGGGTCCCGGTCAACAGTGAGTTAAATACGAGTCAACAGTGCCCTGGTAGCCAGGAGGGCCAATTGTGTCCTGGGGGGCATCAGGCATAAGTCAAGGACTTTGCAGTTTCCCATGCTCTGCCACTGAGCAGGTGCAGAAGAAGCTGCAAGAGGACCATGGACAGGACAGCTGATCTGAACTAGTCCAAGTTATATTACATATCACAGAATGTTGTTCTCAGTGTATAAACTGAGGGACTTGACCAGGAGTCACTGGTCACTGCTTAGGGACAAGATGGGTATTGGTCAGCAGGTGGTGAGCAATTGTATTATACATCGTTGTTTTTCTTGGGTTTTATTCCTCTCTCTCTTTTCTTTTCATTACTGTGATTACTATTTGTGGTGTTATTATTATAATTAGTATTATTGATATTATATTATATTTTGTTTTGTTTCAATTATTAAACTGGTCCTATACCAACCCACAAGGTTTACTGCTTTTTTTCCTGGTCCTTCTCCCTGCTGGGAGTGAGCAAGTGGCTGCTTGGGGCCAAGTTGCCAGCTGGGGTTAAATCATGATATCTCATCTTAATCTTATCTTGAGCCAACTGCTCTCCATCTCTGTAGGCTTGGCTGAATGTTCCATTAGCATTGGAAATAGAACCAATAGCTGAATATCATGCTGTCTGCTTTTATTCAAGCCCATCGTGATGTATTCTTAGCTTTCAGAGTATAATGAATGTGAGTGATGATAACACAGGACAATGCAGATGAGACTAGGAGAGGAGTGATTAGACTTGCACCACTTCAACTCTGTGAGAAAAATACCTGTTTAAAAAAAGGACTTCTTTCCCTCTGAATTTTGAAATGTCTTTAATTTTCAGGATTAGAAAAGGTTTCTTGCACTATATCTGGTTCTTTCTGGAACTTAGGAGTTTCTGTTCCCTCCTTTCTAGACAATTCCTTCAATATTTCAGGAACCTCTAGTATAATGTTTCTCTTTTTGACCAGATATTCCTTCCACACTTAAATACCATTTTAATTAAACCATAATAAAGATAGATAAATTGCTTAAGAATTTTAAGTTTCTTGACATGGAGAATTAGAATTATGAGAGTTTGTTTTTGAGAGAGAAAAAGATACTACTTACTCCAGACTAAAAGACAAACAAGATAATGTGCCCTCACAGCAAAGACAGTGAATGTTATCCTGGGCTGCATTAAGGAAAGTGTTGTCCATGGATAAAGAGAAGTGATTTTTACCCTTTATTAAGCACTGGTGAGACCATACCTGGAATCTGTGTCCACTTCTGGGCTCCTCAGTACAAGAGAGACATGGACATACTGGAGAGAGTCCAATGAAGGACTAACGAGAGATGATCAAGGGACTGGAGCATTTCTCCTATGAAGAAAGGCTGAGACACCTGGGACTCTTCAATCTAGAGTAGAGAAGGCTCAGGGCGAATCTCGTCAATGTATCTAAATATCTGAAGGGAGGTTGTTAAGAGAAATGAGACTGGCATTTTTTCAGTGGTGTCTAGTGACAGGACCAGAGGCAATGGACACAAACTGAAACACAGGAGGTTCCCTTTGAGCCTCAGGAAACACTTTTCCACTTCTGTGGTGACTGAGCATTGGCACAGGTTTCACAGAGAGGTTATGAAATGTCTCTCTTTGGAGATATTAAAAAGTCATCTGAACATGTTCCTGAATAACTGGTTCTAGGTGTCCCTGCTTCAGCAGTGTGGTTGTACCAAATGATCACTAAAGGTCCCTTCTGACCTCAACCATTCTGTGGTTCTGTGAGTCCAAAATCTTGGGTCTGACTGTGCTACAAAACAAATATTATATAAATCCAAGCCATTCCCTTTATATAGGAATAAAGGTGTAACTCATTTACAGTATAATTATACTGTAGTATAATTAGTATAGCATAAAGATAGATTTCTTTTTTTTACCATCATCTATTGACAAAGCCAGTAGCAACTGCAATACTTCAATAATAGCATATGATGAATTAACTCACTTTCACATCAACCTCTAGAAAGCAGGTCTTGTGATACTTAAGCATTTTAAAGGAGTTTGGGTTTACTTCTGCATAAGTTTGAACACGTTAACCACAGTTTTGGAACTGTTCTCGATTCTACCACCTTCTCAAGTTAACAGCTCTGAGCTGAGGAGACTACAGTGGGTTTCTTAGGGTGTTCATGCAATCCAAGACGAGTAATCTGACATTTAAATTCAGAGGATATATATGGGAAAAGAGCTAAAGAAACTAGTTTAATTTACTCTGTACTAAGTATTTATGTTTAAGAATAAGACAGTATTGTTCTTTCATTGAAGTGAAAGCTACCTTAAAAGAATACTTTCACATCCAATTCTTTCAAGGGAAGATGATACATTAACTGCACAAAAGATTAGTTCAATTTTTACATTATATTAATTTCTTCTTACTTGTAGCAAACTGACTGGGTCTCACAGTAATATGTTGTTGGTAATTGGCATCCATTTGTTATACTGACTCCATAACCTGCATTTAAAAACAGGTTCATTTTTTCCTTTAAATAAATAAGGGTTTTTTTCAGCTAATCTCAAATGTCTTAATAAGTCAAAAATTCAAAACTGGATTGTATGACTTGCTTCTGTTATTTCCATTCTCTCACATTCTGTATTGTAAAAAAGGTTAGTTATGCATGTTTGTGTTACTGTTAAGTGACTTATTTTCACCAGTTTTAACTGATTTGGAGGAGAGAGGTTTTTTTTTCAGTATAAATGTGGAATAACATTTACACTGAATGCTAATGGAAAATTGAGCATTATTAGCCAGATGTTCATTCTTCAAAATAAAAATGAAGAAAAAAAGGAAATGAGGAAAAAAATTCTGAAGATGAAATGTCTTCAAGCTAGGTGAGCTGGAGGTAGAAGTCGCAAGCACGTAACAATAGACTTGAGAAAACACAGCTAAACAGTGTGTTTGAAACATACCAATATCTTGAAAAGAAATTAATCAGATGTGAAATGAAATTCCATTCTGAAAAATAATGTGTACCACTTCATTACAGGTCTAGTCTTTGGATGAAGCAATTGGCTTCCTTGGAGTTTGAATCTGGTTGCAGTTCTAGGTACTGTTTACTCCTTCAAGCACTCTGTACATTTCATGTATCGGGCTTCACTGACTCTGGCTTTCACAGCTCCCAACACACTGCACACTCAGACTTTGGACCACTGAACACCACTGACACAATGATATGTCAAACACTGTGGCATGCAACACATAGCTTTGCCATCACACTGAAATCACTAGTGTGGTAAACTCAGACATGATTCTCAGAGAATCTTAAGCTCTTTGAACTGAAAAAGAAAACCTCTCAGAAAAGACGATATACAGGATGATAAACAGTGTAGACAATTGTAAAACTCCGGGCCCCAAGAACTGCCAGCTCACAGGATTGCCTAGGAATTTTACTTTAATATATAGATATAGGGTTCTTTAACACCTCAAGATATTAATATACTATTAATCCACAACGCTTAAGTCAAAATCCAGTAAACCAGCAACACTTAAATCAAGATCCAATACACCAACAACACTTAAGGCAAAATCCGACCAATTCCACAACATTTAAATCAAGATTAAATCCCTCCAGCTCCAAACCATCCCAAGCATCAAGAAAGGAGCAAAGAAAGAGATCAGAGGGAGCAAGAAGAGAGAAGGAGAAAGAGGGAGAGACAGATTATGCATCTACCACCAAAGCCTTATAGAAGACCAGCTCTCACAAGTCCAATGGCAGGGCTGCAACACAAGGTAAACACATGCCTTTGGTTTTATCTGCTCTGGTCCCTGTGGCCAACCCCTCCAGGTAGGGTCTCTGACCCACCAACCACTCTGGCGTTCCAGACCAGGGTGAGGGGCAGTGTCCTCATTGTCCCTGCCAATCTGAGCTGGATGAGGGTCTGCAGGAGGTGTGGTGTGTTATAGTCTTCCTGGGTTGTTGGTGACTGACAGCCATTCCAGGCCTTCCCCATGTGGGTCCCAGGGGCTGCCATGAGAGACACGATGCCATCCCACCTCCGTGAGGTTTGACCCATCCCTTCCCCCTCCACACACTCAGACACACACTCCCCACAAGTTGGTTCTGACCCATTAATAACTGGTCTGGTGTCTAACATTGCTTGCTGACCAAGAATAGCTTCTTGATATGGGTTTCTTCAGGAATACAAATGTAGGTTCTCCTCCTGTCTCTGTGTTTCAGTCATTCTCATGGCCAAGAGACATCCTACTTCTAACCAAACATGAATCCTTTTTAAGCATGAGTCCACTCTCTTCTTGAGCATTTCTCTCTCTCCTGATTATTCAGTATTCCTACAGCTTTGATTTATAGCTCATTTCATACTGTGTTCTCAAGGCACCAGCCTGGCTTTAAGGACTCCAGAAGGTGATGGTGTACAGTGGAGGTAGGCACTTGAAGGGCAACATTGCCTCAATTTACATGTTGTAATATTTAGTCCTGAATTCCTACCAATATTCAGCATTATGCAGTATTGAAATTTTGACCTTCCAGTGAACATCAGTAGAAAGGTTTGTTGGTATTAAATAGTCAATGAAGAATTACTCAAAAGTGAACTTCTTCCCACTTATCTACGCTTCTAAGAGGTACTTGTAGTTTTCAACATTGTTTCTTACTATCAGCCTTCCTTCCTAAAACTTTTTTCCTGTTATTTCTCTCATTCAATTCTCCTTATGAAAAGTTACTATAGTTTTGTCATATTGCATGACTTTACATTTTTTTTGCACAAACTTTAAACATTTCTCAGAAGATTTTGCTCATGACTCTATTGCACTTTACGCAAGTAAGAGGACTACTTGAGACTGAGGTCTGATCAACACTGGCATAAATTACAGAAGAAAAAGGACAAGAAACATTTTAATTTTCTCTATTTAATGTTGATAAAGAAAGACTGATGCCTTTTTTCCCCCAAATAACATCTCTCTGAGACATATTCATGAAAAGATTTTCTTTCTTTCTTTTTCCAGAAATAAATATTTATAAATGACCATATTATATAAATATCTGTAATCTTATGCGGCAAAACCTGTGATTCATTTACTTCTCAAGCTAAAGAGAACATAAAGATTTCTGTAAGATGGTGATCTGAATGAATCACTAAGAATGTGTCATAAGTTACTGATGTTGTTACATAGAATGTCTCATCTTTGGATCATAATGTCACAATATTTTTTAACGTTGATTGTAATGGGCACTTCAAAATCTGTTTGAAAATTGCTATACTCACAGTCAGCTAAAACTTGAATAACTTGACTATAAACCTCAAAGTATTTCAGAATAATACAGTAAATCAGGAAAAAGAAAAACAACAAAAAAGTAGTAAATTAAAGTTGCATTAAAAAAGTAACACAAATTCTTAGTCAATTATCTATGATAGGCATTTTCAAAAATAAAGCTTTAAAATTATTTTAATTTCTAAATATAAAACTAATTTAAATCCATATCAAGACTTCCTTTGACTTCTATTGCTTCATCAGAGATATTCTTCTTTCACTGTTCATATACAGACTGCCTTTATCAGTAGTTTTGTTTGCCGTTTGCCATTTCCTTGTTACCCCTAGAAATGGGTGAATACACTTTCAGTATAACCAATCTACCCATGAACACAAACATTTTCTCCTTTAGGATTCTGAAGTGTCTCTTCTATGTATTTCATATTAGTGTCATCTCAGATTAACAGAATTTTTTTTTTAAATAGAAGTTTGACATAGGCAAAGTAGTTGCTGGATAGAAACAAGACTTCACTAATGTTTGAACTGTGACACAAAGGAGAAATTTCCGCCTTGTAAGTCCAGATGGTCATCTTGACCATTTCTAAATTTCATGGTAGACATAAAGACATTGCATTTTCTTATTGTACATCAAATGTGTCAGAAGAAAACTAGACCAAGGAAAGAGAGAGAAAGGGTGCAAAACAAGAGATTATTTGATCTGGATGATTATGCGACCAGGACCATTAGTCATAGCATAAAGTGTATTTATCTAGCAGTTTAGATGTAGCCTTATTAAAATTGCTTTAATTATTGAAAATGAAAAATAGGCTGTTAATTTCTTTGCACAAAGGTCTTTAATTTCAATGCAGTTTCATCTCACTTTAGTTAAATGTTTTTGTTGCCTGAAATGTAAACCTAAAATCTCAGAGTTAGAAGTAATAATCTCACAATTAAGAATTTTTTTGTCTATTATGAAAGAAACAACGCAATATTCCAAATAAAAATTGCATGAATGGAGTATAGAGAAACTACTTAATTTGTTTATAATGAAAGAAATGCACAGCTTCAAAGGAAGATGTATGTGTATGATTTGTCATCTGGATTGTTCCACCGCTCTGTATGCAGCTATGGAGCAGCTTTATATCCTTATTCATCTATTGGCATTTATGCATTTGGAACATTGAGAAGATATGCAATGTAAAAACTGTAAGCTGAAACATATTTAAAAGACAATAAGCCTCTCAAGTTTATATGCTAAATGTTGCATCATGAGCACAGAAAGGGAATTCTTTCTCTCACCCTTCCTCTCCCCATTTCACACTACTTCAATTATTGCACCGATACAATCATTGAAAATAATAAGAGATGCTAACTTCATCCTAAGCTCTCCAGATTTCTTCATATTCACCGAGGAGCTACAGTCAGAGAAATACAATGAAAAAAAGAGGGTTGTAGAACAAATAAAGTAGGATGTTGCTTGAATTCTCTTTAGTGATTTCTGTTACCAGTGACAATAAAGGAGATAAGGAAACTGGTCTTCCCAGTCTGTAGTAGTTTTTCACTAGGACATACTCCTTGCTAATATTGAGAAGCAGATACTAAATGAATATTTTCTTCATTAAGGTTGAAGACAATTATGATATGAAATGATAGAACATGACTAAGAAGACATCCTATTTTAAGGAAACCTGAAAGATATCCAAAGTGCTCAACAACAGCAAGAATTTGCAATGGAAAACATTTTCATTGTTGATGCCATTAAAAACAAATCACAGTATTGCTTTTGTTTATCTCTTTAGTTAATAATCAACTTAGCATAATTATGCCTATAAAAAGGCCTGAATTGTTTCTAATTATAACCATTTTCAGTAAATTTAATAAGTGGAATATTGTCTGGTATCTGTAATAGTCATGTTCATTCTAATCACATTAGCCTACATTAGTTGTTGCATGTTTCAAAACACAAGTTAGTTTTTTTTTTTTCAAACTCCTTTATTTTAGTTCTCATTGCCAATGAAAAAACACTCAGAACAAACACTTTCTTTAGTATCAAATTTAATTAATAAATCAGTTCCATTTGTTTTATTGCAGTAACTAGCAGCTGTCGTGTCCCAAACTTTAAATCTTTATCCCTTCTGAAGTTTTCTTGACATATCATCTTTGAACAAAGTATTGAGTTTATTATTTGTGCAATATTTAACCACCTAGCATCTCAGTCTGAAATGAGGCTTGTAAATGCAAAGGTGGTGTGCAAATATTTACAGTCATATTATCTTAGAATAATGGAATGTATACACTCACATATCTGAGGAATTTACACAGCTGGAGAAAATCCTTCATATCTATTAATATTAAAATTTACTCCTTGTTTTTCATTCATCTGTGTATTTACAGAAATGAAAGAGCAGAAATGTAGGGTAAGCTTTTCTAGTAAGAAACATTTAAAACTTCTAATGCGGGGTCCACAGTATTTTTATTTTCCTATGTTAAGAAGCATCTTCTAAAAGCTAACATTTTTGATAATGAGTACTGTCATGAGATTTTGACTTGCCTCCATTCTGTCTTTTTTGATCTCTCCCAATCCTCACTGCTAGTGTTATGTTTTAACAAATATTCTATATGTATTCTCATAATGTTATTTCCAAAAGATGTATGACTAGTGATTTTTATTATATTATTCCATTTGTCATCATGCTGTAATTGTGCCATTAGTGCTCACTCTCACACTGTGGAAATTATCCCAAGAATTCTGCACCTTTTTCATATAATTCTGACACTGATTTTTCTATTATTTTAGCTTTAGAAAGAGGTAAAAGAATTTAATCATCATGCTTCTTAAAAGCTTTAGATTTACATTTGGATCTATTTTCAATTTCTCTCGGGGTTTGTAGGTGGTGTTCCTAGTCAAAAGCAATGAATTACCTGACAGTGACTACACCTCTATTGTACTTCCTCCTCAAGATAAAAAACGTCGCATGCCCCAGTGCGTATTTCAGACAATTAATAATAGAAACTGGCAGGCACACTTGACAGACTGCCTCTGGACATCACCTTACATTGAAAAAAAAAAAAAGGTAAACCCAGACAATGTTTTTCAATGAACCTGCGATCCTTTAAGTCATTGCATTTATAATTAACTGAAAGATTTCACACTGGCTTTTAATGCAACTTTTAAAATATGACCACAAGACTGAGAGATTTTTAGGGTCAATGTAAGTGGGAAGAGGAAGACAAGGGCAGCTGTACAAAAAATGTTACGGTCAGAAAGTGTCCTGCAACACCAAGAAGTTCAGTGCATAAAAGGGACTTGTCTACTGAGTTGAAGAAAGTTGTAAGAGCTTTGGATTTCTAACAGGGTTTTAGAACCATACAATTAAGGACAGATAATTTTGCTATAAACATGAACTTCAAAAGAAGTCTTTCAGTCCATTAGTGTCAAAAGAAAATCTGAAAAGACCAATTTCAGCAATTTTTGTGCATTAAATAATTTAAAATAATGCAGGAGGGTGGGTTGTGACACAGTCAGGGTTTCTGTATATAGCTGTGGGTTTCTAAAGCAGACTTTATTCAATCACTCCTTTCTATGTTTCATTAGCTTCCCAATTTGAATTAAGTAATATTATAGACTTACAAAAATCAGGTTAAAAACTCTTTGTATGGGTTACAAAGTTAACCACTTACAAAAGTTAAAAAGGTTAAAATTGAAGCCCTGGTTTTAACCTTAATTTGGTCCTTTCATGTATGTATGGTCTTTAATTAGATCCTCTCATATGCTTTTTTGAGAAGCTGTCAGCATCACTTTGTATATAACAGTGCTTTGTATAATAGGCTGTGCTTATTTAGAATGCAGCAACTATTTCCTTTCTTTTCACTCATAAACATGCCTTATTTATGACACAATATTCGAAGAAGATTCAGAACCCAGGAATAATTCCTACAGGAATTTTTCCATCCCCCTTTACTATAATATACAACATTAAACACTAATGAATTCATGTTAATGGCATCCTTGTGAGATAAGTATGCATCATTCACTCCACTGTACCATGTGAGAAACAAAGGCGCAAAGACATTATCCTCTGTTTCAGAATTTATTTTGAGAGACATGATCTGATTTTTCATATTTAAAAACCACAAACCACTGAACTGTGATTTAACTGCTCAGAGCAGAAAAAAAAAAAAGGTGATTTCACTACCAGCTCTGACTGTGCCTTTTGGCAACAAGAGTTTTAAAGGATGACTAGTCTCAGGAATCTGGGATAGAATTAATCTCATCTATACATAAAGGGGTGTCTGGAACTAATTTTAAATGTTCAAATTAGTGGAATTTTGGAGACTGACTGTATTTCCTAAATATAGGTCTTAAGTGTCATTTGAAATATCTTAATCTATATGAGATCAGTTCATGAGACATATTCGTGGAAGGCCTACACCTGTCTGCATTGGCATCTGGAATCCAGGTTGGATTTGCTAGTCTCAATGTCATTAGACACTTCTGCATACACAAGGCTGAGGCCCTCTCTCACTCCTATTTGAGGGAAGTTGCAGAGCTGTTAACTCATACTAAAAATTGAATGGAGTATCTCTTCAGCAGGATCCAGCTGACTGAAACTGTAGGTGTCTCCCACTGAATGAGTGATGGTGAAGTACCCTATTAGGTCTGCTCTTGCTGTTTCAGGAGAACACACGTCCCCTGCATATCTTTTGTCGTGTAAGACTCTTCAGATTTTCAAATTGCACAGGTATGATATACAGATACCCGAGTTGAGTTCCCTGGTGAATGATTGAGTTCATCTTGTGATAAACAGCTAACATGCCATTGCAACTTTATAGTTTAAATATGCATAAAACCACATGAAGGAATTGTGTCAAGAGAGAAGGAATGGCTGTTGCTGGAAAGCATTTGAAGACACATCACATCATATTGAGAGACATCAGGTACATATTGTATTACACAGTTAGTGAGTTTATTGCCACACATTCCACCCCAAAGAGATATTAACAGTTAAATGAAACTTTCATGTACATGTTCTTCTACTTGTTTACGGTGAATTAGATCTTCCATGTTAAATCCCAAATTTGTAATGCTTGTCCACATCAGAAATGTTTACTTCCACAGCAAATTATTTTGTTTTGTGACTCATCAGAAACTGAGTCCAAATTTGCAGCCATGAAACTCCTTATTTTCAAAGTCTGCTGTTTTGTGCTACAGATCTATGGGTTTTGCACCTTGCTTAACTCTCTGTTTTTCTGTCAGGATTTTTGGATTGAAACTAAAATCTAAAATTTTGCTTATTAGAGCATTATTAGTATTTGTTTTCTATTCAAAATAATAAAAATATAATAAAATAATTCATTCTAGCAGATATGCAGCATTATTTCAGAAACTACTACATAAATATTGTCATATTTGTGTTTCAGAAGAGTTATATAAAATGAAAATATGTTCAGAAATGATCAAACATAACACTGTAATACATGGCAAATATGTGTTGCAGATAGAATTTTCTGATTTTCCTACTTGTGTTAAAAAAATTATTAAAATTAAAGTTGAATATTCAAGAGAGCAGGAGATTCAATAACCTGGATCCTTTAGAAACCTTTCCAAGTAAAAGTATAACCATTTGGCTTGCAGGGGTAAATATTTTACCAATAAAATTTTCCAGAAGCTTATTCTGAGCAGTTTCATTTTGATTCTTCTTAAAAATTAAAATTTTGTTCATAAAACATAAAATCTTCATGAAGATCTAAGGAATTGTAAACTTACAAAGGCTAAAATGTGTACATTTAGATATAAAATACCAGATTTCTAAGTTACTGTGTTCAAATAATAGATGGAGTATTAACAAACATTAAAAAAAAGCATTAAAAAGGGGAAAAAGAAATCTAAGTCACAAATAAAATATAAAGGATGAAAATACAGAAGTTAGACAATGTAGCAGCAATCACCATGTTCTGAATAAGTAACACCCACTATCAGATTAATCTTCTGTTTTCCCACCAGACATCATCTCTAGCACAATTTCCCTTGAGAAACATGAGAATATGTTCAGTAATATACGTGGAGAAAATAGTGAAAACAAGAGAGGTGCAATGATGATTCATCAGAAGATGATGAAATTAATAGAAGAGAAAAACAGTTTAAAAACAAGCTGTTGATTTGAAAATGCATTATGTGTATATATACATGTGTCAAAGCAGCATGAAGTTGGACAAAACCATGCTCTAAAATTTCTTATTTGTTTTTTTTTCCTGATTGCTCTTAATAAAAATGCAGATAATCCTGTGTCAGAGATAGATCACCAAGATAATTCTGGTTATTTTGCCTTTTTTTTTGCGTGGTTCTAATATTCTGCTCCCCCAAAAAGTTTAGATTGCAGAGGAAAGACATCCAATAACCCAACAGAAATCTCTTTTTGTTTTCTATATATTTAACCATTTTCCATCAATGTGGGACTGGTGATTCTAATCTATTCCAAAAGAAAAGGTACTTTAATGAGTCACTGTCCAGGTAAGTTTAGCATGTATAGAATTTCATCAGTTTTCAGTTCAACCTCATGCAGCCCCAGCGAGTTGAGCAAAGGCTAGCAAGACTAACACATTAATCTCCAGTGGAAACAGAGATCACTCAGTATCTCTGAACTGCAGACAAGCTCAGGTGTAGGGTAGAATATTTTCCACAAGCTAACAAACTCTTTAGCATGCATGGGAACCTGTGTGCCACGTGGAAGTGTCAACTGCTTTTATGAGA